ATAATCACTAACTGATTTATTGACAGGTTATATTTTTTTTGATTAAAATATTTTATTTAAGAACTGAATATAATATCAAATAAAATAATATTAAAATTAACATATCAAATATAGGATAAAATAAAAAAAAATATTATATAAAAACGGAGGTGGGATTACAAGTTCCCAAAAACATGTATAATTATATTTTAAAATAATGATTTGTAGATTTTGTCTTAAAAAATAATATTCTTTTGGTTCTGATGTAAGGGCTCTTATCTTATCGCCAATATTTTTTAAGAATTTTAAGGTTCCGCTTGGCATGTGTCCAAGGGAAGATATAACACGGTGTAAAAATATAATTTGTGAATTTTGAATATTTCATTGTATTTTTTTCTCGGCTATATCAACCGGATTAGAATTTAAATTGGGAAAGAAGATGCATGTGAAGTCCCAAATTAAGGATTTCCCTAAAGACCAAGGCACGGAAGTTAAGCAATCTGGTCTTAAGCCATCATCTAATGATAAATTTGTAGGCTCCAGGATGTTTGGTATTCAGGCCCTGGTAAGAGAACGGCTAATAGCTAAATTAATGGCTGCATGCCTTGCATGCCGGCCTTGACTATATATACAATTTAGACCATGTCTCCCTTTGGAGTCAACTAATATTTTACATTTGATGCATGTATGTGGTTGAACAATGTTAAATCCAAGTCGATGGCCTATGGAAACTCTTAATTGTTCATCTGATAAGAGGTTACCTAGGTTACGACTTGGTAATCCAATCATTCATAACCACTAGTACAGTCAGAATTCTGTAATAGTTGAATATACTCCATAGGGGGGGGGGGGGGTTGATGAGATTATTTTGAAAAATTTTTTAATTAAAGGTTCGAAAATAGATTGGTGTGTTAAGATTTTGGGTAAAACAGCTTCAGGTGGAGCTAAAAATACCCAAGCTGTCAAGGCTGAGTTTAAAAGGTTATCCTTAGGAGAGATAAAAGAATATATCATGGCGTTATTCATCAAACGCGATGCCAAAAATGAGGAAAGAGATAAAAGATTTAAAGGTGAGAAACCCCAATTAAAATCTTCCAGTTTATTAAAATATTTTCTAATAAACTTCGAAAAATATTAATAAAAATGTTTAAATTTTATATGTATATATTGACATTAAGCCCCTATCACTAAATGATTTATTGACAGGTTATTTAATAAAAATGATTAAATTTTATTCCCATATCACTTTTTTATTGGCAGGTTATTTTATAAAAAATGATTTAAATTTTATATAATATTGACACTAAACCCATATCCCTATAACCTCTAATTTATCCTAAGTCACCACATAAGACTTTAATCATTTTACTACTCCTTACTCTGGATTAACATGTTTTTTGTTTTAATTATATTTCATCCATTTTTTAATTCTTTCAGAATGAACATTCCTTGAGTTTGAGCCATTATTCCTTAAAATGTTACGAGATGAAGAAAAATTTACAGTTCTAAGTTTTGCCAAAACTTATTAAGATATAATTTGCGGTTTGATGGCATAATGCCACGTGTCTCCTCTCTCGTGTTAATTTACCTAACTAGTGTCAACTAAAAATCATTATCGCATTTTTTTCTTTATTATAGCTTAGTATCGATTAAGAAATGATATCGTATCGATGATTAGTAATAAGTATAGAAATCTTTTCCATCTTATTAAAAATAAACAACATCTTAAGAAAATAAGACTTATGCAATAATATAATTTTATAAAGATTTCGAAAATCAATTTCAGAATCCCCCTCCAAAAAAATTCTATATATATAATAATAGCATTCGGAAAGAGATAAATAAAAAATTACTTAATATATATATATATTTATTTTTTTTTCTGAATGTAAAATGATAGCAGACTGTTTTACAAAAACATATAAACAATAAGAATTCAGATTCATTTTATCAAACAAGAAGCCGTGAAATAAAATTCTTTTCATCAAGAATCTAAAAAAAAAATTGGGTTAAATATAATACAATTTACAATTCATACAAGACTCTATTATATATATGTAGATGAAATAATCTTTATTAGATATCAAAAGTTTGAGTAAGAATGTGATTTTTCCGATTTTATAAAAAAGAGATTTAAACAATTAAGAAGCGAAAATTTATGATGAGGGCACTTCTCCCATTCTGTATTAACAAATTTAATAAATATAGGGTATGCTAGCCTAGGCAAAAATTACAAAACAAAGTCAAGAGCTTAGTAAAATGGCACTGGATAATAATATCCTTGGTCAAAATGACATAAAATAAAAATACACTTTTGTTAAATGTTAAATTAATAAATTTAATATTGTTTAGTTATTTTACTATCTAGCTATATTATACTTTAAAAGAGGGTATGTATGTCAATTTCTAAATAAATCATAAATAAAATAAAGTTATTATATTATGTTTCTCTTAAATTTATTGGATTTGAAACGATATGTTTTATAAGGATGTTAACGAGTATGGTTAATATACATAGGCATGTATTTAAAATGTATTGCATAATTTTTTTTAAATTTTAAATTAGATTATTTACATATATAATGGTTGCAGAAAATAAAATTCTATTTGTTAATTTGAATTTATTTTTGGAAATAAATATATGTAAGGACTCCGCCCTAACAGTAATATCGTCATACCACACACATACATCCACTGCAACATTCATGTTATGTCATCACTCCTTACATTGAAAATTCTCTAGAGGCAGGTATTCCCGTCACCCGACAATTAAAAACTTAATCACAAGGGGTTTCTATCAACTAACATTCCTTCCACGTTACAACCAGTCGGATTAAATATCTACGATAATAAAAAACTAGATGCGTCATTCTTACGCCGTGGTTGAAAGGACAGTCTTTGGTATGGAATTATACCTGTATAGATACGTTTTGAGAATTGAAAGCATAAGACTCATCCATAGCGGCCATCGAATCATCCAAACTTAAAAATTATCCTCAATTAAAAAATATACTTTTGCTAACCTTTATTAATACCACATTAAGAAACTTAATGTTAAATGCAATTCTATTTTTAAAAAGTTTAGGTAAAAAGTCAATAAAAATCATAGGTGATCCTAGGGAAATATATATCACAGGAAGAATATCTTTTGAGATATGTAAATCTAATTTATTTAAAACTTCAGATTTACGCCCAACAAATTAATTTTTTAAACCACCCCACAGTTTTTCTTTTTTAATTTTGTTTATATAATTTTATATTAATATTTTTTACTACGTTTTGAATATTTGAAATTGAAAATATAAATAAAAAGATAATTTTAAAAAATACAAAAAATTTGTAAATAAATATTCTGGAAATAAAATACAAATTAGATAAGCTTTCCACATTTGAATCTATTTTTTATAAGTAAATTTTTTTTACTTACTAAAATAATCCATACTGAAAAGTTAAAACTCAATAGAATAATAGACCTATTTAGTGTAAATTTTGACTAATATGATGATCCTTTGTCCTATTTTTTTAAATCTAAAATTTACTATTCAGAATGGTGTTGTGTTTAATAGTGTTGTTAAAAACCCCGATTGGGGTCGATTTTAAAAAACGGCCCGATCAAGATTATAACCAAAATAACATTTTTTAAGCATAAAGATTTTGCACATAGGTGGCAGTAATGCTTGGACATCTATTTCTCAAATCTCGATGCTTACATAATATTAGTTAAGCTAAAATCTTAATTATGCCGTTTTGAAAATCGACCCAAATCGGGCTTTTTAACAACACTAGTGTTTAATAATACTATAAACGAAACGAAAGAGTGTTATTATATTTTTTTCCACTCAAAATATTATTATTCTTTATCTTGTTTTGCCCTAATCGTCATTATAGACAGAGCTTGTTTTTATATTTTATTCACCCATTACATGGAAAAATTATTATAACAATACGTTTATAGATTATTTTATTGTTGTTTTGTTGGAAAATGTTTCGTATATGAGTACCCCTAAAAATGATAGGGCATTAAATGATTTATTATTAATTTTTTCACTCTCCTTATGTAACGATTAATTTATTCCATATTATTTTAATGTATTTATTTGGAGAGTATTTATTTGGAGGCGACTATTCTTAATTAAATAAAATTCTATTATGCTATACAACCATGTGTGGATATGTGGTGGTTTACTTCATTCTGAGCGACCTGCATTTGGACTTGGGTACCGTAATAAAACACTGGGCCCATTCTCCGACAATTCAGAACCTCGAACTCTGTCGATCCTTCCCTTTCCCCAATGGTTGGACTCAACTGTCTAACTATTTCAAATAGATTTCTAGAATTCCAAAAAAGAAAAATTAATAAGGACATAATAAGTAATGAATCAGAACATAATATGTATTGTTTACATTGTAGAAAAGAACGAGATATAAGCTGATTTAAGTTTTCATTAACAAAAAAAAGATTAATATTTATCCTGGTGAATTGATTATTTTTAAAAATACTAGAAATTAGGTACCATCGTTTTTTGCTATTGTTTAATTGAATATATCATAATGCTTATATTTCGATTTGCTCCATTCCAACATATGCTCTACTTTAGGGTTCGGTTGTATGAATCCTGAAATGATAGGGAAATTTCTTGAAAACTATGGATCCTGATCTGGAAAATACCTATTTGGTATTATTGGGGCTCTCAGAAAAATTTCAAAATGATCCATACAATAATTGTTTATTAAGTTTAAAATGTCTTAAAGCTATTTTAAATTTACCTGTTGAACCTGAAATACATTACAGTGTGTATTTGAAAATTGGAAAAATATTATATTTTACATATAATGATCTTGACATATCCAAAACTTATTTTGAAAAATCTGTAAGTTAGATATAATTATTTATATCTCTTATTTTATGTTTATTTTAGTGGTATTCGAGTATAATATCCTTTTTTATTGGAGTTTATATATATTATTTTTATATTGGAATAAATAGTATTTAATACTTCCTTAGCTAGTATGCATCATACATAGGGACCAAATATAGCTCTGCAATCTTTTTGGCAAAGATTTACCAATCTGAGGTTGATAGCATTCATTTATATTTTTTAATTTGTAATTGTTATAGGGCTCATATCATGATGCTGAACGCTTACTGAAACAATGCATATCATTGTCAAAAGATAATTCTTTGTGGTATTCAGTATTTATTACAGAACTCTCAGTAAGTTTTACTTACATTCTTTATTAATGAGATCTAATATTAATTGCTTACAAAAATATCCATTTTTAATTGCTGCTCATATATTTTATTTTATAAATGATAAATTTACAACATTAAGCAAACCTATCTGAAGAAAAAAGATGTTCAAAAGTCTATAATATGCCTGGAAAATGGTATTGAATTTTCAAAGGGGTATCCATATGAACATACCATATTCATGCAACTGAGCTTAGCAATTGTAATTATAAATAAATTGAAATATCTTTTCAGATTATTATCATTCATCATGATTTCTTAACCCGTTATATGCCAAGTTATCTGAGATATAAAAAAATAAACTTTTTTCAAAAATTTATTTTTTTCTGTATTAATACATAAGTATAAACATATTTATATATCAAAATTTAAAAAAAAAGATTTTTGAACCTTCAAAATATCAAACATTGGGAGGTACAGGTTTGATGAAATAATTTTAAAATTTTATATGTATGAGATAGTACATCATAGCATTTGTCACATTAAACCTGACAATTGGCTTTAATTGAATTGATTTTCCTTTATTTTTTGGATTGAATCAATTGTTCATCTTGATTGTCTAGGATGGTATTACTTTTTAAGTGCATTTCCAATCAAAATTGCACAATAATTATTCTGAGTAGCAGGTGAGCAATATTCCCATCCAAGGATAAATGTATTATCCAAGTGGCTACAACATAAATTGTAAAAAAAAAGAAAATAGGCACCATCACCAGTTTTTATTGTTATGTCGGGCACTATAATCACATAAAAATCTAATCTAATATATCAATTCCTTCTATATAGTATGAGGTGATCGTATTTAATTGATTGATGTTAATATTTGCCTTATGCTTAGAACTCCATCACTTGACTTTTATTTATAGGATACACTCCTTGAAGCTTGCCACTGCTATTGGAGACATATGATTCCTACAACACAAAACTATCTTTTTATCTTTATAAAGACATCTATGAATTTTTTTTCATTAGTTTTTAATTCTATGGGAATTTTTTGATTTATGTGGATTTTTCCTCTACTACCTCAGCCTTTTCTCCAGCATTCTGCTTAGATTTGTAGAAGTAAAAAAAATTATCTAAGAATAGTGCATGTTCCTAAATGCTAGAAATAATAAGTGTTAATCTTTTTCAGGACTCTTATCACCAATAACTATTTAAAAAGGATACAAACAAGATGAGATAGGACCCAAACACCAAATTTTTCTGGCTTTTTTTTCGCATGTAGTTCTTTTTGGTTTAGTATCCTTGATAGGACATCATTTTTTCATCCAGACTCAATTTTTCTTTGAATATCCCATGTTGCATATTTTGACCAATAATATCGTAAAAGTAGCCTAACCTTCACTAATTTATCAGTTTTATCAATATCAAAATTGTTGGCCAGATGTATCATATTTCTTGAAAACAATTATTAGACATTTATTTGGGATAAATTATGGACCTAATATATATTCACCTTGATTAATAATTTGCCTGAAAGCTGTTTTTAAAAAATAAGAGAATTTTTTCCTGGTTATAACAAAATCTTAAAAAAAATATTAAAATTAAAATTTAGATATCAGTTGCTTACCAATGTTTGAAAAATTGAACATAATAAACCAATATACATTATATCTTCAGGAAATGAGTAACTCTGAGGTAAATATTTAAAGAGTTATAGTTTAACTAATCATATGAGTTATAAGAAAATATATATTTTTTTTAAAGTGTTTATATGTTAGAAAAATTATAAAATCCTCAAATTTAAAAGTTGAAGCTCCAAAAAATAAAACTGGTGATTAATGGGTTATAAGATAAGCATTAATATTATTAAAAACCCTTAAGAGCATTTGTGCAGCTTAAAATATTCTCCATCATTTTACCATATATATATTATTTTTTTAAAAAAAATAAATACAAGGTATCTCTTATAACAAATGACATCCGTAAACTGGAGGTCACTCTTGACCTACTAAATGTGTTACTCAAAAAGGTTCAGAATTCCATAAAGAAGGAAAGCTTGACACTTTACACACTTCTAATACAAATACTGCACCATTTAGTACAGGGAAAGGTATGTTTTTGAAAAAATAAATATGTATCTGTTATAAAACCACTCACTCCCCCCCCCCCCCATATTTTAATATCTACAAGTTAATGGATGCCTCATTATCAGGATCCTATAACCCACTGTTTTTAAGAGAGTAAAATGGATAAATAACAATTTTTCAATAAAAAAAAAAATTGTCAATCATTTATTGATTCGTCATGTCAGAACAATTAAAATAACCAATAAGAGTTTAGAACTAAAAAAATATTCTCAGTTTAAAGAATTTTTTAAAAATAATTCGTTACCATGGCAGAATTTCTTCTTTAAATAAATAAACGTGCGCTGTTCGGCGGATATCGCGGAATATCGTTTAATCTTTATTTAAGCCGAAAACTCGTTACAAATCCAAAATCGACGGCGTAATTTTATACGGCACCATGCTATAAAAATTATTTTAAATTTTTAATTTTTCAAAACATAATGATGGCCTCCTTGAATTCAACGTCAATCCAGCGGGAGAGAAAACTCCTTCACTGGGTGTGCTAGTTCGCTGGAATACAAAGAATTTTTTTTGGGGGGGGGGGCAAGCCTGGAAACATTGGTAAGTTCACTCTTCTTATCTCTCCAAAAATATTTAGAAAATCCATATCTCGTGAAGCATTCTTGTTCTAAGTCACCTGAACGTGGAATCGTAAATTTGTTTTTGTTGAATGTTTATTTGCCGATTTTGTCGAATAACTTGAATTTGATAGTTCCCCACTTGATCCTCGATAGCTATATTTAACTACCCGAACATCATCATTCTCTTATAAGTTCAAGATGTTTTAATTGTAAATAATTCTGAAGCTGATCAATTTTGCTCTATTATAATGCTTTGACACGATTGTCAATTTTTTTTTGAAATCTTGGATCTTAAAGGAGGCGCCAATACCTAGATAATTTTTTTTAGTTGTACCGCTTAGATTAAGCATTGGTCATATAATAGAATAGGTAGTCATCTCAATAGATTAGGCAGTCATATCAATGGATTAGGTAGTCATCTCAATAGATTAGGTAGTCATCTCAATAGATTAGGTAGTACTTATATCTTATTAATCGCAGATCACAAACCGAAAATCGTAACGCAAGATTTTTTTAACGATTTCAGATCTATCACCTATCATTTAAATGCGTTACAATTTCATTTCCAAAAAAGTAACGCCAAGTTTAACGTAGGCCCCTTTTTTTGTTCCGATACAAAATTGGTATTTTAATCCCTGATAAGATTTCTAGCACATTACTCCGCTAACCGTGTTTTAGGGACATTTAATTTTAAGGTTTTCGTACGCGCGGCGAAATTATGTTATTATTATCATAAGGAATCGCCAATTTTGAAAACCTTGCTTCTTAAATTTTAAAAATAATAAAAAGGCGCTGCAAAAGAATGCCGGAAAAAAACAACATTGACGCTATTTTTTGAAAACGGCTAAAAAAAAACTCGATATTTCATCCAGAAAAATCATTACTCAAAGCCCTGAAGATTTTGCTCATAGAAGGAACTAAGGTTCTAGACATCTATTAGCGAAGTCTCGAGGCTTTAGGTATTGAGTTAAAGATCGTTTAATTCGATAAGATAGAAACTTACCCGACACACTTATCATAAAATGTGATTGCTTTAATTGAGAGTCTAGCTAACCCAATTGTCAGAAAATGGTGGGTGTGGAGGTGATGGGTGGGGGGGGGGGAGGTTGTTCCAGTTTACGATTCCTTTGCTTCCTTTTCCAAACTCTCGAGAATTTTATCTAAATAAAAATGAATATTATGTCCAAAATAAATAAAAAATAATAGATAAATGATATAAGGATCCTTATAAAATATTTTTTTATAAAAGGGAAAATCCGTGAAACCGTACCTGAAAAAGCTTCAACAGATATTGCAAAGTTATACCTCGAGGAGTGAAGAAGATGACGGTGAAAATTTGAATATAGATTATTATTTATAGTTTATTAATTTGGGAGTTAATATATATATGAGCAATGACGTATAATGATTACCTAGACCGACGATGCGCATTCATTAAAAAAAAGTGTGCGCACATCAACGAAAAACAGCTGGGGGACGCCATTTTTGGTGACCCCTTCTTTTTAAAAATAACATCCAATCCGGATCACAAAATTAGGATAATATATAGTAATGTTTTTAACATAAGAATAATTACTATACATACGGGTTACCAAAAATGGCGGGTCCAGCTGATTCGCATTCCAAGAACGCTTTTAGATGCATTATAATGAGTGCGTCATCCGTCTGGGTACTACTACATGTCATCGATAATGAGGTTAAATTTTAATTGGCCCAATGTTTAAAACAGATTTGTATAATAATAATATATATATATAGTAAATATCAGAGTTGTTAAAAGATACTTTTTAAATGTATCTAAAAACAGATACAGATACCTCTAAAATAATATCTAGATACGGATACTTTTATAAAAAATTAATCTAGATACAGATACCACATTTTTAGTATCTAGATACTTTAACAACTCTGATAAATATACATTATTAAAAATTTTTTATCAAATATTAAATTAAAACTTCTTATATATTTATAATTAATTTGAGGTTAATCTTATTAAATGTCATAAACATTATTTAAGCTTAATATAGACATTTTAATAGGCATAATATGCAGTGTGGAAATAAAAAAAAAATTGATTCGATTTAAATTGTGATTTAAATTAAGTTTATTTTTTGAATATCCACCTTTTAAAAGCTCTTGCCATGGTCCCTAATATCGAACACTCTTTCGAAAAAAATATCCTCTTTTATATATATATCAGCCGCAAAATTGGAAGAGTTAGATATGCCCGCCTCACGCCCTACTCATTCATTCGCGTTATATTTATAATGATATTTTTTATATCTCCTCACTTATTATAATATTTCTTTTTGTATCTCAGATACTTTGGATATACTGTGGTTACCCCGGCCGTACATAATTCTCATGTCTTATCTAGTAAAAACAAACATAAAATTTTATAAATTTGTATTTTTTTTTTTTAAAAAAAAAATTGCTTTAATCATTTTGCTTAAAGTCCAATCAAGAAGAATGTGAGATTTGAGTGATCACCCCCCCCTCCCATTCACTTGCTAGTCTAATCATCCCAATATGGTTTGGCCAAGTTTTTTTTGCGTGTAAAACTGAGTTACCTTCTATAAGCTAAGACCTTGAACTTGAAAATTCGGTTAAGTCATTTTATAAGTTCACCAAAGGTTAAATTATTTTTGAACATTAACCCCCCCCCCCCAATAATTAATTAATCCGCTAACCTTGAATTCATAGTGGCGCGATCGCGGATTTAACAGCTGATTGATTTTTAAAAATCTTGTTTATTGAGATCAATTTTTATTTATTAATATCAATTTTATCTTTAATTCAAATTTTAATAATAATAATCGAAGAAATAATGATTTTTATAAAGTATAATTGATCTCGTAAACAGATTTTTAAAATCAATCAGCTGTTAAATCGCGATCGCAATCGCGCCACTATGAATTCAAGGTAAAAGAGGAACAAAAAAAATTAACTTCCTGAAGTCACGTATTAACATTTTCCCTGACCCTGACATTTTTTATCTTTAAAATTCACGTGCATATTTTCTAAACCTTTGTTGATTGGCTTAATCTTTGTCCAAACTCTAACACGGTTTAGCCCAATGAAATTTATCTCTTTAGAAAATAAGCTTATTAAAATCTTAAAGCGGGAGCGGAAAGCTTGACGAATTCCTTATGTGAAGTTGGACAAAATCAGGTGATTTTGTTAACGCGACCAATAAAGAAAGGAGGAGCTTTCGCCTAATCTTTGTCCAAACTCTAACACGGCTTAGCCCAATGAAATTTATCTCTTTAGAAAATAATCGTATTAAAATCTTAAAGCGGAAGCGGAAAGCTTGGCGAATTCTTTTTGTGAAGTTGGACAAAGTCAGGTGATTTTGTTAACGCGACCAATAAAGAAAGAAGGAGCTCTTAATTTTTTTTCTTCTTTCTTCCCCTTACATCATTTTTTTGGGTATAGACGTCGATGACATATGATACTTAACCAAATGACGATGACGATGCGTTCTTTAAAAATTTATTTTGAAAGCGTCGATATTTAAATCAGCTGGGGACAACGTCATTTTTTGTTTTCCATATATGTATACGTATTTTTTTACGGGGAACTAAAATGGCGCGCCAGCTGCTGATTCAAAATATATATGAATGAATGTTCAGTATCAATAAGGATATGTGCATACTGCATTCGTGTTCGGTATTATCGGCTAAAATAATTTTTTTTTGTTTTTTTAAAAAAAAAAAAGTTAATAGTAGTTCACGCTTTGCAAGTCGGTTACATGGAACGAGCCTTGAAGTATATAGACAAGGGGCTAGCTCAAATCGATATACTAAAAGGTATATCTTATTTTTATATAAAACCAAAATTACTTAAAATGGCAAGAATATATAGAGTACCCCTCACCCCCCCCCTCTCTCCCCTGTTTCCCTTTGCACCCACCTTAAAAGTAAGTTTAAGGATCTATCAACCCCACTCCCCCCGAAAATTGCGAGCTTTTAGAATAAGTGGAATCGTGAAATCTGGCACATCGATTTATGGAACGTTGATAAAATCAGAATAGCGAATTCAAGAACGTTTCCGAAATAATAAAAATAAATATGAAAATTTTAATTTCTTACGATAATATTTTTTTAAAAAATAATTCCAATTTTTTTTAACTTTAAATAAATCGATACTATAAGATACTTTTAAAATGGATCCTAATACATCGTCGATTTAAATTTAGGTGTATCGTCTAGTAATACGCAAAATATCCCCATTTGACCCCTATTTTTTGAAAAAAACGGCCAACTCAATATTATAGTCCTATAAGATATTGTCCAAGGTCTCGAGATTTCGTATTAAAGATGCCAGAACCTTTGTGCTGTAATATATGTGAGCAAAATCTTCAGTTTGCAGCCTAATGTTTTTCCCTCTGCTCAAATGGAGGGATTTTGCATCGCCAACCATTCTTCCTTAGTATTACTATATTATTCGTTTCTTTAGTTGTTTGTTTAAATGACTAAACTTCGGGAAAATCTAAGAACGGCTTTAGCCAAAATTTTTTTTTTTGATCCCAAGAAATGTTCATTTAGATTCCTTACGAAGTTTTTAGAACTCAACTTAGGAGTATAGTTCATAAATAGTTAGAAAATTTTAGCAACGTGGATCTAAGTCTACGTTGAAGCTCTTCCCTTCTCTCTTTTATTTTTAAAAAATTATTGATTTGTTGGAAATAATATTTTTTTCAAAGACCCGCAAGGCACCGTATTTAAATTTTTTTTAAATTTATCCGGGCCAAATATTTGAAATAGTAGCTATAAAAATCAAATTAAATAAAATATATTTAAAAAAAAATTCGGGCCGAGCTTGAAAAATTTATTTTTGAAAAAAAAATTCGGGCCAGGCCGGAAAATTTTTTTTTAAAAAAAACCCGGGCCGGGTCGGAAAAATAAGAAACCCGGGCCGGGCCGGAAAAATTTTTTGAAAAAAATCCGGGTCGGGCCGGAAATTTTTTTTAAAAAAAAACCCGGGCCGGTTCGGAAAAATAAAAAACCCGGGCCGGGCCGGAAAAATTTTTTGAAAAAAATCCGGGTCGGGCCGTACCTTTGCAGGTCACTGTCGTGAGATAGTTAGTTATTATTTAATATAATTAAAAGTTTTTTTTAAAAAAAAATTTTTGAACCAAATACTGTTACCGAGTTTGTTGGAATTTCATAATAACTTGCTACATTGACCGGAAATGATAAAAATGATACTTACATTTTTAGTGAACACGATTATTATTCGATTTGATTTTTGTGTGATAAAAGATGAATTAATAATAAAATAATTATTTTAAAAAAAAATTTTTTTTCCCCGAGAAACACTTTCCGAAAACTCGAAACTGGGTGGGAGGGGGGAGGGAGGGAGCCTGGCGCGAGAATTCTTTTGTTTCTGTGGAAATAATTAGTCAGTTCCTATATTTATGGCCGGCTAAAAAAATCGGTTTAAACCGATTTAAACCAATTTTTTTTAAGCCCGAAAACTATCACCTTTAGCCTTGGGGGGGTTTATATGACAATTAAGCCGCTCAAAGTTTGAAAGAAACTGATATAAATTAAAAGGCCCGAATTAATGTTAACGGACTTTCTCCTGCAGACTTCTGAATCTTCTAGTCGAATTTCTAGACATTTTTTAGCCGTTAATCAGCTGCAGTTCCAGGTTCTCGAATATATATAAATATAATACGCATAAATATGGAAATTTTTATAATAGCGATTTTTTGTTGTAGACCACTATCGCCCATCCCTCCTTGCACTTATCCCGTTAAATGTTGTTTACGGTTACTTTTCGAAAAGTAACTCTTTACAAGTAACATCCGTTAAAAAATGTAACTTGTAATTACAGTTACTTTCGCGCCGCCATTAGTGCTTCGCCTATTATTATTTTCCTTCTCCCTAACTGCCTAAAGGTTATCATCGCCTTCATTTTCTCTCAACTCACCATTAATCGATTATTTTTCTAGAATTTGTCCCATTATTTCGGTGTTTGTAAACAAATGGATTATGGTTTTGTTTATTTATTTTTTTAAAAATCTCATTTCCGTTTTCGTTTTTTTTTAGCCGACTACCTATCCCAAAACGACAGAATAAAAACTTTAGACTTTAGCGATAATCCGTTATCGCGCATCAACGTTCTCTACAAATTCGAATCCGCTTTCCGCGAATACGCAATAGTGTCCAATTTAGTTACCGGAAAATATTCTTCCGCTATCAAAGAAGTTTTCGCATTTATATTTTGTATACATTTTTTATTTACTTATTTGTCACCTTTTGGAGGCTACCATTTTGTTTTATTGTTTATTTATTTTTAAAAGCGATCAGCTGATTTAATTATTTACTTATTTTTTACCCCTCTCCCCTTTCCTTCCTAACAGATACAAATGCGATTTTTTTACGAACCCACCGGCATAGTGATCAAAAGAGACGTCGATTGGAACTACAAAACACGTTTACACACATTTTTGGTGAGGAATGAAAATTTTAAAAAAAAATATATATATTAGAAACAGCTGATTATATATTCCTTTCAAATTATAATCCATATTAACCAATTGGAAAAGCGTTTATTATATCCATTTATTTGCCCATATATTTTTCAATTTCCCCTTGCGCATTTTAAAATCCCAGACTGAGTCCCATATGTTCCGAATTCGGGACTGGCATTTGACATCTGCCCTTCTCCGATTTAGATTTTTTTTTTATGACCAGCTTTACTATTCCATTTTTTTCTCCCCCCCCCCCCTTCCAAATCATCGGGCATAAATTTTCACCTTATATTATACTATCATTCTTTATTAAATCTTAGGATTTTTTACCTAAATATTGAATTCAATTCTTAAGGCTAGGGCATATCTCCCACTCGTTAGGGTTAGGGGTACTCTTAGCCCTTCTAAAAGTGGAGACAGCTGTCATTTTGATCCTCCATGTTTACTCTAGTTATTGATATGGCCTATACAGAGAAGGGTATATTAGTAAATATCCGACATCAAATCAACTCGAGGTTTTAACCCGATCACCCTCCCCCTCCCCACTCGGGAGTCTTTTTGTATACTGGCTTAGTATATACTATAATTAAGAAAAAATAAATCAAATTTTACTTTTTTTACACCACTTAATCGCTAAGATACAGCGAGAGCGGGAAAAAATGGTACGTTTATGACAAAAAATGCGCTTCGTTAATTTTCAAATGTATTCGAGAATTTAATTTAGTTAGAACAATTATTTAAATTTTATTATATAGCCTAGTGACGGTTCTTTAATATGGCATATTAATAAATATGATAGAAACCCTATTAATACCCAAAACAGGAAGTACCAAAGCGCAAATTGTCTAGAAAAAGAAAGGTTATTTTTTTAAAAAAATTTATTTTCTGTAGGATTCATACCAGTCTGCTTTTATATTTGTACAAAATCCTAGACTGGCAGAAAGAAAAAATCCCTTCTTTTTCTTTGGCCATTTCCGGTTTTGTACTTCCGGTTTTTTGGTATTAGTCGGTTCCCAGGAGGAGTTCAGGATAAATTGCGTAAAATTTATAGGATTAAATATTCTGCACATCCGGATTGACATTTTTAGGCAAACTTAGAACGCATCCAAACGAAAAAATGATTTTATGCTATTTAACCAACTTCGAATATTATTTTATTTCGCGTTTTTTAAAACTTATTTTGCCGGAAATGGGATCTAGTGGCACCGATGGAATATATACCATATAATTTTTTTAGAGGTAGGTGCTTATTCACTTTTTTCACGTGAATATGACTTGTCCACATTATTTTTAACTGTATTTTTTTTTTATGTATTTAAAAAAGAATAATATATATGAATTGATAAATTTATTACCTTATTTTTCGGCATATGTAAATAGGGTCTATATTCGTTGGCAACCAAAGAATACGAAAAATCTCAGACACATTTCAATTTCATAAGACTTCAGGTTTATTATTAATTTTTGTCGACTAAGTTGTTTGCGAATATTTTCTAGGAATTATTATTTTTATTGGGAAATTTTTCAGGAAAGAAAAATTAAAATCAGCTGTTTATTTTTTTTTTGTTTATTTTTTAAAGACGGCGGATCCAGAAAACGACAATAACACGAGCTATCAATCAACCAAATGCAAGATCTTCTGTTCCTTTAACTTGCTTCTCATGTACCTTCATTTGAACCGGCACAATTACAACTCGGCCTCCTCCATTAATTCCGTATCGAACAGCAACCTGGAAACCGAGATTAGGCGTATTTTAGAAACGCTCAATCCCGACGTTATTAGCGAAATCGCGTAAAAAATAAATATATTTTTTCGTCGAGTAAGCCAATATATAATTATACCTAGACTTACGATGCATTCATTAATAGTATGCATCGATGTAAATCAGCTGGGGACGCCATTTTGGTTACCCATATCATAATCAAGAAGAATTTTAAACGAGAGGTTAATTTATTCCTGTCTGACGCCAACTTTACTAGAGAATTGCCCGACCATCGAGATAATGAGGAAGCAAGTTATCTATTCGATAGTAGTTTTTTAACATGAGAGTAATTACTATATGGGTTGCCAAAATGGGGGCTCCAGCTGATTTGCATTCAACCACAGGCTTTATCGTCAGTCTAGGTATTATTATATGCCATTGGAGTCGACATTAGAGGTCTGCATTGGGCGGGTTTTGGATAATATGCCCGCCCACTCAATGTTTTAAAAAAAATCTTTTAACCCGCCCGCCCATTAGTCGAAATCTTTACCCGCCCGCCCATTAGTCAGAAATCTTTTACCCGCCCGCCCATTAGTCAGAAATCTTATACCCGCCCGCCCATTAGTCAGAAATCTTTTACCGCCCGCCCATTAAGTCTAAGAAATCTTTTACCCGCCCGCCCATTAGTCAGAAATCTTTTACCCGCCCGCCCATTAGTCAGAAATCTTTTACCCGCCCGCCCATTAGTCAGAAATCTTTTACCCGCCCGCCCATTAGTCAGAAATCTTTTACCCGCCCGCCCATTAGTCAGAAATCTTTTACCCGCCCGCCCATTAGTCAGAAATCTTTTACCCGCCCGCCCATTAGTCAGAAATATTTGGCCCGCCCGCCCATTAGTCAGAAATCTTTTACCCAAGCCCGCTATTTTAAGCATCTAATGAAAAATAGTTTCAACATTACATCTTCTATAAGTTTTATAATTTAGGAAATTACTATTATTAAGTAAGCTTTATTCAATTTAAATTATGGATAATTTTATTTTATCAAATAAAATTATTTATAAAATATAAATATAAATATTATAAGTAATTATAATGCAAAAATAATTCCACATTTTCGGGATTCAAACACGTTCTTCTTTGTTTCTAAAAACCTTCCGGCAATGCTAAATTTTCTTTCAGAAGTAGCGTTTGGATACGTTGCGGCTAACTGTTGTAGCACGAGGGATGATCTTATTAACATCCAATTTACCATATCTTGCCCCTAAGTCGGCAAATCTTTGTAAAATATTTATAAATCCAGGTCCTTGAACTGCTTGAAATGGCCTAAAAAAGATAAAAGAATAATTTATTAAATTAAAATACCTAATGTCTCTAGCGCAATATTCTACAAAATTCGCTATTAGACCAGATTTTATCGTTTTGTTTAATTGAGAATTGTCTTTTTCAAAATATCCAGTTATTTTTTTATTATCTATCAAATCTTCATAATTTGCAGATGAACATTGATGCCGAAGGAAGAAGGAGGTGCCACTTTTGCTATTATATTTAAAGATGGAGTCGCAATCATTGCAGCGATTCCAATCTAGCTTTTTGTCATTTTCATCAAAAATAATTTTAAATTGTTTCCACATAGACGATTTAAGTTTATTATTATTATCTTCATTGTTTTTTATCTTATACAAATTATTTTTTATTTTCTTAGCAATCAATTCTTTATTCATATTTTAAAATTAAATTAAAAAATATTATTTTGTCAAAATTATGTTATAAAAAATAATATTTATATAATTATATAAGAAAATAAAAATGAAAATAAAAAGGGCAATATAAAGATAAACAATCATTACTAAAATAAAATAACACAATGGAGTAATTTCATTATTCCCAAAAAAAGGAAATTTTAATTTTTCAATATCTAAAAAATTATATATTTTAAGAAAAAAAGTTTTATTTCATTACCATAAAAAGGAGATTTTAATTTGTTTATAGAAAAAAAGGTTTGTTTTTATTTGTAGAAAAAGTTTTTTTTTAATTGAAGAAAAAAGTTGATTTATTTTATAAAAAAGTTATACCAGAAAAAGGGCTTTTTATTTTTTAAGTTCGTAAGAACAATTTTTTATTAATTAAAATAAAAATTTTTAATTTTTTTAAATCGCTAGCCTGCCCGTTTTTAAAAAAATTTTACCCGCCCACGCCTGCCCACCTAGATGGGCAGGCGTGGGCGGGCGGGCAGGAAACCCGACCAATGCAGACCTCAAGTCGGCATAATAGATTTGTATATATTTTAAGTGAGGAGAATTTTAATATTGTTTTCTAATGTTGGCTAATTTACCCTAAAAAAAAAGGTTATGCCAAAAAGTATTCCCTAATTTGAGTCTTGCTATTTGTTCTCTCAGGCATTCTTTAAGGGGTTGAGGTCATTCTTTAATCTATAATCCCTCCCCCCTTCCTTCTCTTTTGGATCCCATATAATCGTTCTCTTGGAAAGAAAGAAAGAAAGATAGATAGATAGAAAGAAAGAAAGAAAGAAAGAAAGAAAGAAAGAAAGAGAATAAGGAAAAGAAAGAAAGGGAAAAGAAAGAAAGAAAGTTTTAATATATGTTTATTAAATTCTTTTTCAATTATAAATTATATTATATATTTTTAAAACAAAACTATTTTTAAATAAAAAAACAAACAAGTCCTTACATTTACAAATCGGCGGCTAATTTCGTTTACTCCTTATGGCATTTTTGCAAGAGAGATTTCAACGAAGCAAAGTTAGTGATTTATTTGCCAGTTATTTATTATTATTATATCATATACCATAATTTCAATTTTTTTTTAATTCTTGCTAATCAAGTAAGGCGGTATTTTTATTGGTAAAAAGTTCATTATCGCTTCCGCGCCATATCGTTTATACGCGGCCGGCGTTTATCGTAAATCGATATCTTACGCTAATAGCGGTAACGGAAATTTGAGGTTTTTAAAACCTCTCCCCTTTCGGTATTCGTTAAACGCTACGCTCGTTTTCTGGATTCTATGGGAACTATACTATCCGGCGAATTTTCCGATTTTTTGCAACTCCTCCTTTTTGCGTTTAAACCGGCTCGATTTTTAAAAAACCGCTAACCCCTATATTTTAGCCTAGGGGACACGATCTCCAAGATTCCGTTTAAAAGATTGTCCAAACCTTTCTACTTCCTGTATGCGGAATCCCTAGACTTGACACGTGTATATTTTGACAAAAAAAAAATGTAGTGGGTTAACCTTTTTTTTTAAAAAATGAGCCATTTTATAAACACTTACCTACAGCTGATCGTAAATCTTAATACGTTCATATATAAAATTTTATTAAATGGCGAAATTTTTTTTTATAAAAAAATTATAACGTGCTTCCGGCAAAATCAACTTCCGGAAATTTGCTAAATACCCTGGTTTATGAATTATGGTCCTGAAATTTGCTTAAAAAACCCCTGGTTTATGAAACATGGTCCTGAAATTTATTGAAATCTTTTTACGACATTTCGGTAATAATATATTTTTGACGCCATTTTTTTAAAAAAAAAAAAATACGCAAATTGAACTCCAGGAAATATTTGAGGGAGGCACTGAAAATGTCCAACGCCGAAGACGTAAACAGGATGACGGCATTCTCTCTTCTTCTCCTGGGCCAAATTTTCATTCATTCACAAAATTTTCAAGTTAAGTTTCAAATTTTTTTTTGATTGACATTCATTTTCTTTTCCGAGGAAATCATGTGTTTTCATCGATTATATATATAAGTGAGAATCAGTGTTTTCTTATTTGATTGAAACGTTCCAATATGTCTTTTCTTTAGAAATTATGTGATATTCGACAAGGATTCTTAACGCCAATCGCGCTGAAAAAATATATTCTAGGATTTTGGGGGGGGGGGGAGTAATCTTTAAAAATTTCAAATCATTGTAAGCATCCATTTTAATGCCTTTTGATAAGGGACCTTATTTTAACTGTACTTGTATTTCGGAATTTGACTAGGGCATGCTTCTATAAAAAATTATTTGCTAGATTTGGTTCAAAAAATGGGTATATAGACCACATTCTTAGAGAAGGAAAATTTGCTATATTTTCTTTAGATAATGGGCATATAGCCTACGTTATTTAGTCTATATTCGTTATTTATGTCCTTCTGTTCTTTCAATTATACTCATTTTTTTTATAGATAATTTTATAAACCATTTTACATTTTTCGAATCTTCCAAAATTTTCGAATTTCTTTCATATGATTGCGAATAGGATTGCTTGACCATGCTTAATCCTGGATGTCAGCTGTCGGTTAAGATTCAAGATCCTTGCTCACAAATATGGGCATCTGTCTTATATAAACGTAAATCGTATATTATTTTCTAATTCTCATTTTTAAATAAAAATTATATAAATATAATATGACCTTTTACCTTTTCAGATATTTACTCATTCAATTATAATTATTTAATATTGGAGAAAATCCTTATTATATTAGATTGGTTTTTTTTATGATGTGAATTTAGAAATTTTTATATAACAACTGGGAAAGTAAGCTTGTGCCAAATTATATACTAGTTATACAATGGCCATTCATTCTTTAAAAGTGATGTACGCTGTACTGTCATTTTATGGTCTTGCGCGTAGAGTATAGACGTACATTTAAAAAAAAATTAATTCTGAAAGTAATGTTCCCTCTTAGTCAAACGTTCAAAACCATAAAAAAGGGGTCTCTAAGTTGAACTCCTGATTGTAATGCGTTACAAGTTTTAAATTCACTTTTAATCGATAAATCTTCAGAGCTATTTTAGTATGTGTTAGAAATATATTCTTTTAGATCCAGTCCGATCTTAAAAAGAAAATCCTAAATCTGTCCGAATCCGAAAAAAATGGCTGCTCGAATCCGACCGACCCGACCCAGGTTGAGTTGGAATCCGGATCGATGCGTTTGCTTGGATTAGCACTCGAATAAGGGGCTAAGGGTTTTAAAAAAAAATAAAACGAGAAATTTATTCCCATTAATTTTTATATATAAATCAATAAATATATGACAGAAATGTATCAAGCTACCGGAAATGAGAGTCAATTCAAGGAATCTCTCGAGCTCACTACCAAATTGAGCGAAACATTCGCTAAGGAATATCAGGACGCGATAACGTCCCAAGAGCACAAAAAATTGATTCAACATTTCTAGATTTTTCCAGAATTATATTTATTGGAAAATTTTTAATTCCCATCTTTCTAACTCGTATATTTCTTTATTTTTTAAAACTCTCCCTGGTGGAACATTTTCGTTCTCTCCTACCGATTTTACCCCCCCCCCCCCCCGACTAAACATTAAGATTCATAATCATTTATATAAATTATTTTCTTTTAAATTATTGTCCATTAATATATATATATATATTTAACTCAAACTTGTTCAAAAATCATTGTATATTTATATTTTTTATTTATTTTAAGTGATATAAAATAATAATAATAATTAATCATGTTTTTTATAAAAACAAAAATTAATTATAACATTTTTGTAAATTTAAATTTTTATCGAAATAAAACAAAAATATTTTTTTTTTATTTAAAGTTTGAAATGAGCCGTTTACCGTTCTCACAAACGTAACGTAAAAATCATGATATAAATTTTTTTTTATATTTATTTTTTTTAATAAACAAAAGTGATAATATTTTTGCGACTAATTTTTTTTAAGTGTTGTTAAACTAACTAACCTTAGTCAACTATGTCAAACAACGTAGCCATGTTTTTATCCCAAAAAGATTAGAATCGATCTTCAAGTTGACACTCAACTTGGTGGCACAATTCAATTTTTTTAGGCTAAAAAGCCACCATTAGCGATGGTCAAAGTTAGGTTTTTTAACAACACTACTATTTTTACGATCATTTTAATATATTTAAAAAAAAAAATTTATAAGTACCAAAGATATTCATTTTCTCATTTCCATTCCTTTTAGTATCAATTCATTCAATACATTGATTTGTATATCGAATTAACTGGATTTGGGCTAAAATGGCTTTTTGAAAAGTTTATTTTTTTTTGTGAAAAAAAAATGTAAAAATATTTATTGTATAATAATAATATATAATATGTGTATAAATATATCTTTTTTATAAAAATATTTTTTTTTTCTTTCCAATAAAAAAAAATTATGATGTTGTTAGATTATTTACCTTTTTTAAAAAAACAATTAATTACGGATTGGGAGAAGGCAAATCTATGTTCTGGAGTAATTAAATATCAATCTATCTTTCTCTAATACGATCGGTTATATCTTGTTCTAGTCGTTCTAAGGAAGCGCGGGTGTATTGATTCTTTTTGTGGCCTCTTGGATATATAATAATTATAAGCGAATATCTAGAACAACGTTTGCTAAATGTTTAGCCTTGCTATTTGACACTATGTCTTGGTTGGTGACCTTTTTTTTAGAATTTACAGTGCGAGGGTGGGGCCCGAGAGAGTATGTATTGGGAGTATATATATATTACAACCGTTCCTGAGACGATGAAATAATCTCGATTGATCTGTTCATAACCAGGAACGAGATTTTTGAGTAAGAAAGATTGCTTCCAGAATATTGTCTACCAAAATATATTAGGTAATCCTGGAGATTTTACTCTTGTGATAGCAGAAAGGTAATGTTGTTATACCATCCTTGGCCAGTTCTGAAAGATTTTAGCCAAGTTTTTTAAGTCTCTATCATTAAGTTTAGGCTAAACTTAGACGTTTAAGTCTCAATTTTTTAGGGGATAATCTTGACCACGCCATATTGGAGTTGGTCAAAGTTAGGTGATTTAACATCACTACAGAAAGTTTTGGGCATCTAAGGAAATTTCGAGGCTTGGCTTAATATTACTTTTAGCAAACCTGAACTCTTTTTTAAAAGTTTAGAATTCTAAGGCATTAAGAGAAGAGAAGAGGAAAAAAAGAAACAAAAAATTTCTTAAAATTTAAATTTTTTTTTAAAAAAAAATATTCGTGAAAAAATCAATAAAAATCATTTTGCAATTTTCTTCATAATTTTTTCAAAATTTTCAGTTTTTACAATCTGTGTTTGTGTGAGGGTAATATTAATTTAATATGCTAATAATTTAATAGGAATACGTTTTCATATTTTTGTTTTTATACCAATTTTGTAAATATTTGGGGGACAAAAAAACATAAAATTAAAAAAGGAAAAATAAAACTTCAATGATTAAATATAAAGAAAAGTATTTAAGAGAGACATCGATTCTATAATCTTTGATGGAAATAGAAAAAAAATGAAAGCTTTACGAAAAAGACGAGTGTTACAAAGTCTACTTGTCAGTATTTGTTGTTGTAAAGAAAGGGATGAAAATAAATATTTAAAAATTTTGCTTCCAAAAAAATTAAGCTTTCATATTGTAATGTCATACGAAAATTTGATGAATACTTTTAGTCGAGTTAGTTACAGTAAAATGGAAGATTTTTCACAGTTATTTCGGGAAAAATTTTACTTTTTTTAAAAAATATATTAAAATCAATTTTTTAAATTAAATATTAAAAAAATGTCCAAATTCTTTTTTTAAATTTAATATAAATTGGGAAAAGTATATATATGTGTGGTGTGTGTTTCAATGTGTTTTTTGCGGCAATCTGTTATTTTTACAACTTTGAATCATATTTTTAGCACCTTTTTTTAAAATTAACATGTTTTTGGAATACCTTATCTCATGATATGTAGACAATTTTACAGCTAACCTTTGAGTCCGTTTATGATTTATATAAAAAAAAAATATATGGATTATTTAATATAAATTATATTTAAGTTTAAAAAAAGTTCTTGGAAAAATTGTTCTGAAATTCAAGATGGCAGGTAATTCCAACATGGCGGCTTACATTTCCAGAATAATCCGATTTTTTTAAAAAAACGCGCTCAAAAAATGAGTCAAAATTGTAAAAAAATAACACTTTTGGCGCTAAAAAAAATATATACTTTTAAGAATATTTCAACCATATTATTATTTGGAAAAAATATTATTGTTGATACGATAATTTAATCTTTTTTTTTGTTTTTTTATGAAAGTTTTTGAAGATATTTAACTTTTAAAGTAATAAATACAGAAATTTTGTAAGATTTTTGGATAATTAAAAATTAATGAAAGTTTTTTTTTCCCAATGGTTTAATTGCTGTATTTATTCATTATGTCGGTTTCAGATAGGTTATCGGTTCTAATCACGATATTTTTTTTTGGGGGGGGGGGTGGATATTGTTTTACACCTAATATTTACAGAGATAATAAAACAACAATTGATATTTTAGTAAATTTTTTGTCATTAGCAAGCTACCGACTTTCAGTTCGACAATCGATCAAATCACAATACTTTTTAGAACAACAAAAAATGAAGAGATTTATATTAAAAACGCCAGAAATGTGTGCCTTTACATGTTGTGCTATTATTTTTTCGATTCTAAGCCCACTGGTAAATTTAAATTTCAAAGAAACCTGTAATTTATAGGTTTACCTTACCAAATGTATTCCCAGCCTCTGTTCTCGGGCCGGGCCTGCAGGTCTCTACTAAATATATTCTATTTTCCGATATTTTTTTTCGTTTTAATTTTTTTTTTATTATAAAAATAAATTGTATATTTTTTTCAAATAATGATTTATAATTATTATAATCCTAATTTTTTTTTATATTAAATAAATGAGTTCAGTGAGTAACTAATGCGTTTATGAATGATATATAAAGTAACGTATTATGTAACTTGTTACTTTTGAAATATAACTTTAACCAATAATTAGTTACATTTCTAAAAATGTAACTTAGTAACTGTAAATAGTTATATTTCAAAAAAAACAACGCTAATATATATATATATACACCCAAATACAAAAAAAAAGCACTAACTAATATAATCATTTGGTCCTATAAATAATTTTTTCATATATATATGTATTTAACGCCCTCTTTTGGATATATATTTGTTAAAATTTAAATATATTCTTTTTATCTAAATAAAGGGGGGGGGGGCTAAAGAAGTAAATATATTATTTTATCTCTATCTCTATTATCATAATTATTTTCTAAAATTATTATCAGGTCTAAAATAATTATTATTGTCATTTCCATTTCTATCGTTAAAGTTTTTATCTTTATCAGACTTTTTATCGTTATTCATATAACTTATATTTATCAACATCTGATTTATCATTGATACTGTCTAACTTAATTCCTAGCTCTACCATTTCGTTTAAGTTTAAGTTAATGTTTTTACAAAATTTATATAAATTTTTCTTTTACCCTGAATTCATAACCAAGAGCGATTGCGATTGGGATGCAACGATTTTCATTATAGTGCAGTGCAAAACGTTATTAATTCAAAATGGTATCCACCCTCAAATTATTATTTTTTACAGAATGATCCTGAAGAGGAGAAGATTAAACCATCTTAATATTAATAAAACAAAAGAGGGCGAATTTTATGTCCTCTTTCCTTAACTATTAAAAAAAATGAGCCTAAATTTATCAACTATATGAGAATGTGCTAAAGTAATTTTATTCTATTTTGTCTATAATTCATTTTAATTTAGGAAACCTTTTATTAAATACTCAAACATGTAAAACCTTTATTACATACCAAATGTACCAACTTTATAAAACATCCTATAAGTGTTGAAGAAAAGCTTATGGTTTGTTTAAGGTAAAAATAAAGCAATTTATTATTTAAATATATTTTTTATTTAGGTATTTAGCAACATAAGGTTCATATAGTATTAAATCAACACTGCTATTCTGATTCATTCCATGATTATGCTTATATTAATATAAAATCCTATATTATAGATTTTTATAAATTTAATCATATCTTATTTTGTATGTTATATAAATACCTTGTTTTGTATTTTATATATTGCCATAATTGTTGCAAAATTTTTCAAAATCGTTAGTTAGTGCCGTTATCAGTAACTATAGTTTCAGGTATTCCATATAGCGAAATAGTTTTAAAAATTTCTCTTAAAGTAACATCAGTCGTAATATTTTTAAGATGAATAATAATTGGAAACTTGATGTAGGCATCGACTATTATCAACCAATTTTTTGTGAAAAACGGACCTGCATAATCTATGTGTATCCTTTCAAACGGTTTGGTTGCCGAAACCCGTGGTTTTTGTATCTTTATAGGATTATCATGATATATGTTACAATCGTCACAACTTTTCACTTCCATTACTATGCCATTGTTTATACCAGGCCACCACATGTAATCTTTGGCCTTTGATTTTTCCTGCTCCCAAGTGACCTTCATGTAATGAATGTAGTACATTAGAAAACGGAATTATGATTCTGTTGCTTTTGTAAAGACAATCCTTAATTATACTTAATTCCAATTCAATGTTTTTATAAATATTATTCATTATAGGCCTGTTGTTCTTAATATCATTTATGACTTATTTAATTCCATATCTTTCAAAGTTTCGTCACGAATTTGATTAAAATTAATAGGTAAATCCCCATATTCATTTATTATAGTGATATTTTCAACAGCTTCATCATGACATTCTTGTGATAATCTCGAGAGACAATCAGGAACAACATTATATTTACCGGCTTTATACTTTATATTAAAATCATATCCTCCTAATGTTATATTCCACTTCTGGAGTCTTAAGGACATAGTGCTATTATCCTTAAGACCCTTGGTAAAGATGTGAACTAGAGGTTTATGCTCAGTAATAATTGTAAATTTCGTGCCGATTAAGTATTCCGGAACCTCCTTATAGCGAACATAATAGCGAGAGCCTCACGCTCAATATTGGTATAGTTCATTTCGGATTTTAATAAAGTTCTTGACGCGAAAGCTATAGGTGTTTCTTTACCATCTTTTTCAGTATGAAATAATACAGCTCCTAAACCACATTTCGATGCGTCAGTGGCTATCCCTATAGGTAATTCAGGGTTAAAATATGTCAAAGCAGGTGGAAGACTAATCAACTTCTTAAGATCATTAAAAGTTTTAGAGTGTTCTAGGTTCCAAGCCTTTTTTTGTTGACAATTTTATACAGAGGATCGGCTGTTTCTGCAAAATTGTTCAAAAATTTTCTATAGTAGCCAACCATTCCCAGAAATGTTGATAATTCAGCAGCTAATTTTGGTTCTGGCATATTAATTATTGCTTCAATTTTGTCGTGATTAGCATGAATCCCCTTAGCGTCAATATCATGACCCAGGAACCTCACTTTGTTTTTAAAGAACACACTTTTATTGAAGTTAGGTATTAGCCCAAACGATGATATTCTATCAAACACTTTTTTTATGTTGTTAAGGTGGGCTTCATCGTTTTTCCCAGTTATAAGTAAATCATCAATATAAAATATGACGTCTTCCATGTCACCGAAGATTTGGTCCATGATCTGTTGGAAGATTGCAGATGAGGTCTTGAGCCCAAAAGGAAGTCTAGTAAATTGGTAATGTCCCTTGTGCGTAGATATGGTTAAAATATTTCTGCAACTTTTATCAATCGGGATCTGTATGAAAGCATTTTTAAAGTCAATCTTCGTAAATTTCTTTCCTTCTGAAAGTTTAGCTATTAGATCATTGATTCGTGGTAGAGGGTATCTGAAATATTCTAGAGCTGGGTTTACAGTGTCCTTAAAATCTGCACAAAGCCTAATGCTCCCATCATCTTTGTAGACAGCGGTAACAGGACTTGCCCATCGGACATCATTCACCGGCTCAATAATTTTATCATGTATCCATTTTTTAAGTTCATTGCTTACAAGATCAATTTTTGAATAAGGAATACGTCTGGGCGGTATAATTTTAGGTTGGGCATCTCTTCTTACATGTAACTTGACACTTGCTTTGTTGATTGGCCCATTAGTCAATTTGGATTCACACTCTTTAATCAATTTTTTTATTTCATCTTCGTAATTAGTGTCAATATTTGCTATAAATTTATTTAAAATATTTTTGAAAGCATTGATCCATGTACGACTCAACAAGGCATTTATACCTCGATTCGACGACTATTGCTTGTAAATATTTTGAGATACCTTCATAAGTCACTTTAACATGAGTGATGCCGATGATCTTGATTAAATATCCGTCATAAGCGATAAGTTGTAATTCGGATTTCTTAACATCTCAAATACCAAGTTTTTTAGCCAGACCATGAGGTATAATAGTATGTTTTGAGCCTGTGTCAACTTGCATACATGTAACAATATCGTTCACTTTTAAAGTAGTCATAAATGCATTATCTTTGTCATTGAGCATGTCCCCAGATATGTTGTTAACATTGAAATCGTATTCATCTTTGTTTCTCTTCAATAATTTCATCAATATTCATATTATAATCATTGTTATTGTATTGTATTTGCTTTCTTGTTGTCGCTACCTCTATAATTATTTGAGTTGTTGTTATATTGTATTTGCTTTCTCTGTTTATTGTCGCTACCTCTATAATTATTTGAATTGTTGTTATAAGATTGGTAATTGTTACGATTTCCGTCACCGTATTGGATTTGTTTTCTTTGATTATTATCATGCCACGTATTATTTCTACCATAATTAGATTGATTATTATTGTTGTAGCGATAGTTGTTGTAGTTATAGTTGTCATAATTATCGTAGTATCTCGAATTATTATTACCGTAATTCCTATCATTGTATCTAAAATTATTGTTGTTTAAAAATTTTTTTTTTTTAAAGAGAGGGAAATGTGAATAATATTTTATTTGCATATTTTAACCTCAGGATTGAAAATATTAATTTATAAATAAAAATAATAAACACTTAAAACGCTAAAAAATATATTGAACACTAAAACGCGAAAAATTAAAACGCTAAAAATATTATATATTCGCAACTTACTGATGATAATAACAATTTTGAAAAATGATAATAATAATAACTGAGTACTACCAAGCAAGCTCTATGACAAAATCATGATTTATGGAGACGACTTACGATAAGGATATCAAGCTTACGATTTAAACAAACCAACAATTGGGACAAGCCAACGATTACACTGACTTATGAAGCAACTTGATGACCAAAACGATGAACCACTTGGACAACAAACTCTCTATGACTTTTTAGATGAAATTATGGGAAGGCTTTTTTTAGAAGGGAGAATGTTATATTATAGAAATTAATATATATATCTCGGTTAATAAATAGTATACGTTTATAATGTAACGCACAATCATTTAATTCTGTTTATTAGGTATGTATAACGCGCATTCATTTAACTTATTCAAATTATATTTTTATTTTTGAGTGATACTTTTATTTTTATAACTTAACCTTTTTCTAATATTAATATTCTAATTTTAGTTGTAAAAAATATATGAATAATAGATTGAAAGAGAGAAATAAAAAGAGATAAAATAATATTTTTACTTTTTCTCCAAGGACGTCCTTCTTTTTTCTTCATTATGCCCCGGCTCTGGGTGGTGAACTTGAATGAGATAACTACCTAATCTATTGAGATGACCACCAATGCTTAATCTATTGAGATGACCTATGCCTAATCTATAGAGATGACCAGTGCCTAATCTATTATTGAGATGACCAATTATATTAAATCTTGCTTCCACCCGACTATTTTTATGGCTGACTTATCAAATTTTTTTAATATAAGAAATCGTTTGTTTTTTCCACGCCATGGATAAAGCCGCCATATTTAAATTTATTTTTTAAAATTAAATTAGCTAAATATTTACATGAAATTCATCAATCCACCAGCTGATCCTGATTGAATCTGAGATAAGTTTTGTTTTGTATACCAATAATCTTTCAAAATATAAAGTAATCTTTAAACATAATTCATACACAACAATAATATGAACCATGGTGATTATGTCCCACGTGCTTTAAGAAATATTTCCTTAATAAACGGATATAAAATTATTTGTCAGGGTAGACGAGGCCAACAGATGCCCTTCATCAGGTACCTTCTTTAACAACAATGAACCTGTTATGCCTCCTTCTTCTTATCCTGGCTCTTATTAATAGAATTAATTTGGAACCAATACCTTCAACACAGAAACAATCCCTTTAAATATATCTTCATGCCCAGATAATAACATTAATTCAACTTTTATTGCTGAGGCACAAGAATGGCTAGTAAAATTTATGAAAGATCTCCCCCCTTCCCACAATGGCTCGTATTCCAAAAGGTGCTAGAATTAAATTTTCACAAATTTCTTTTAGCTATTTTAACGGCCAGACCTAAAAAATTTTTTTTTTAAATATCCAGACCGGGCTAGGTAGGGTATAAAAATATTTTTTTTTAAATATTTTAAATCGCCAATTATATTAGCTATAAAAATTTAATTTTCTCATTGTGTTCCTGTTCAATAAAATTGGCTACACTCAAAATACACTCATTATTTACACTATGTGGAGATACGATAAATTAATATTAATTTTTTTTTTGATTTACCTCCTCACCCTATATACCTAATTATATTTTTTCCTTTCGTTTTTAACAGAGTTGTTAAAAGTTACTTTTTAAATGGATCTAGATACAGATACATCGTCTAAAATAATATATAGATATCGATATTTTAATCAAAAATCTATCTAGATACAGATACAGATATCACATTTTTATATCTAGATACAGGATCTAGATACTTGTATCGAGATCCTTTAACAACTCTGGTTTTTAAATTCTGGATGTCTCATTATTTGTTGATCCATCATCTTAGGTCATCCCTGATTCCGCTGATATCCCAGACTACACTCTCCTTCAGAGGGCCGGGGCTAGGGCGCGACACCTTAGTATATATATATATTATATTTCTTGCAACCTTTTGATAGAAATCGGTTTCCGGTTTCTGAAAAAAAAATTCGCCATTTTTTTTATTATTTAAATTATAAGATTAAATAACGTTATTTAACTAAGGGGTGTGTCACTAGCCATTACAATCTCGAAGGGGGGTGGGACTCAATCTTAAACTATCTTCATTTTCTTTTAGCTAACATTTACCCCCTTTTTTTTGGTGTTATAAAAGAAAAAAATTCGAAATTTTGAAGGGGAACTCTTCAAATTATTTAGGGTTGTTCGATCCCCTGCGACCCCACCCCTTAATGACGTCACTACCACCACTCTCGCTATCTTCGAAAATCGTAAATGATTAATAAACGTTAATTTTTTTTTTTTGGGGGGGGGGAACTTTTATTCTATTTAATATACATTTTGTAACTAATTTAAACATTGTAATTTATTCGTTCGAAACAACGAAATATGCAAACATTAAAATACGACATTTGAATAAACGAAAAATATGACGTATCCATCTCTCTATAAATTCAAAAATTTACTCCTCCAATATGGATCCGATGGTTGTAGTTGCGTTTTCAACGCGTGTTCCGAAACATTTGCATATGTACTTTTTAAATTTGTGATTCAAAAATCCGTACAGTATGGGATTTATGGCTGATTTGGCATATGACAGCCATATTCCGAGTTTGAATGCCCATAACGCGATACCCTTATCCGCTAACGCCTCCAACAAAAACACGATAGAACCTGGTAAATAACAAACAAACGCCAACGTACCAATGGCGAACATCATCCTCAAGAGGCCCTCGTTCCGTTTCCATTTTGTTAACGCGTTCGCTCTGACCGTTTGTTTGACTGTCAAAGTGGGAGTATCAGTTGGAATTTTCGTCACTTTTGGATGCACCAAGTTATTAAATGGAGGATGCGGGGATAACGCGTTAACCGCACGCGAACCTATTCGCAATACGAACCTCTTTCTCAGCCTGATTTTAATGAATATGGCCGCGTAGGCTGCCACTGTCAACGACAATCCGAATATGTAATAGAACACGACAAGACTCGCGAACAGTACTTTGGGAAAATCTGGCAAACAATGGAAGGTAGTTGAATTGATCTGGACCGATCCAAAGAATAAAGAATGAGTTCGGACTTCCTCTTTGATGAACAGGCCCATTTGACTCGGATTTATCGCTATGGGCAGTAAGATGGTCAGCCCCGGTGCGAGCCAACTCAGCGCTATAACTATGCTTACGTTCCTGCAGGAATACACGTTTCTGATGCCCTTCCCAAAGACTAACCCTATGTCCAAAAGGGCGGTCAATGTCACTGTGAATATGCTGACCAGGGTGGCTAGGGTGTCTATTATGACGTGAAAATAGCAGAGCGATACTGAGAAATTCCAATAGCTGATATGATTTTGATTGGCGGCTAACGGCATAGCGAATAATCCAATCAGGAAATCGGCCAGGGCTAAACTGAAAATGATGTAATTCCGCGTAACCCTTATACTCTTGTGGCGTAGGAAAAGTATCATGATACATCCGTTACCTATCATCGTTACGATCCCCAAAAACAGCGAAAACCCAAAAACGACCGTTGCCCCTACCATCGGAAAACAATCATAAAAGAATTGACTGTACCGTGTGAATTAATATGAATACATAATTTTAAAAACTAAAAATTATTTGCAAAAATAATTTTAAAAAATTTTTATTCTGGAAATTTAACAGTCATTTTTATAAATATTCTATTAAAATGATATATTTTTTCAAATATTATTTAAATTTTAATATATAAAAAGGTAGGCAGATAATGATTCAATTTAAACGTTTAATCTATCAAAAAAAAAAAAATTCCTTAATATTATGCCATATTTCTATTCAACAAACTAAATATAGCTCTCTTTGATTTTATATATATATAACTATAAAGAGATAATTATCTAATTTGCTTTGTTCGTTAAAAGTTGTTACCTTTAAAGCACAATTATCGATTTTTTTAAAGAATCTTGCCGAATTTTTTAAATTTTATATGTGGGTAAGACATTTATTGTGGGATTTTTGGGATTAATGCAATCTTAGGTATACAACAGAAAAAAAAATTAATTAATTAAAAATAATTAATACTGAAAATGGTATTTTTTTTTTATATGTACATATATTTTTCGATATAATTATTATAGGAATCAAAAAAATGTATATATATATTTGTTCAAAAATATAGAGTAGGATTTTTGGGGTTCTCTAGATCCTTCCAAAGGTCCAAGTTGACCTTGTGATATATTGGAAGAAAAGAACGAAAGAAAAGAAAAGAAAGAAAGAAAAAAAAAGGCATATTTTACCTCTTTTTTATAACTTTTATTCTTAATTTATTGGAAGTCGGGGAAATTTTTTGCATTATTTTCTATTTCAAATCAATTTTAAGATTTGAATTTATAAAATCTCCAAAATATAATAGCCTCATATATATTCGATCCTAAAAATAAAGATAATGGGGTGGGGACGGGACAGGCCGTGGGCTGAGTTATTATACCCTGTCTAACCTATCGCGCCATTTATTTCTACACTATCACTGTGGGGGCAAAAACGACTTAAAACTTCACCTTATAAATTGAAGAATGGATCTTTTTTTTTAAAAAAAAGTATCGTTACAAATTTAAAAGGGAAATTGAATATATATATATATCTCTTTTTTAGAGTCGAAAATTATATCTCCACCAATTTAATACCTTCTGAGGGTGGGGGGGGGGGGGGGGGTGGGTAGATTTACTCTCGAAACGCCCCATATATGTTTGATGATGCCATCATTACCGCTCTTAAGAGTCATTTATATATATTTTTTTTGATCTTTTTTAAATTTTAGAGATACGCAGGTGGGGGGATACGAATCCGCACCCGTGTTCGAGAGCTATCAGCTCTATTTAGCGGTAAATTTTGATAACGGGAAACTTAATCGAAAACAATATTGAGGGTCCGAACCCGACACTCGTCTATTTTACCCCGGGTCGAGTTGTCCACGAATAAATGTCCAACCAAACAATTTTACATCTCTGAAACCCGGGTTCGGGTTCGGGTTCGGGTTCGGGTTCGGGTTCGGGTTCGGGTTCGCACAACCCTGGAGATTACGAATTATAAGTGTTTATATAATAATAATAATTATTTTTGAGGACTAGATGGATAGATGAGGAATCATTAAATGTTCTAGTTAATTTTATTTTTTTTTTAAATCAAGATTCACTTTGTTTTTCTTTCTTTATTTCTTTCATTTATTTATATAAAACCAAAATTAATTGATTGATTTTTTTTGTTTAGCTATCAAAAAAGGTGATAATTATATATTTTTTTATCGATCAAAAAGTGATTTCGAAATATTATTATTATAAATAGATTTTTCAATCGATAAAACATTCATTTCGATATATTCGTAATCGACCTATTAAAATCCATTTTTTTTACTTTGTGTTTCGAAATAGGAATATTTATCTCAAATTCTTAAAAAAATATCTTAATTTTTCTAAATGTCCCTTATCAGCTGAAGCCCAGACCATTTGGTACAATTCCGTTTTCCCAAACACTCCACGACCCTCCTTATGTTCACAGAAGACTGGGATATTCCATTCAACGAAGGTTCCTTGGTTTACCTAAATAGAGCCTTCATGACGACGATCTCACAGTTTTTCACTAATTGGACCAACGATTCGGTTACGAGTTTCTTGAACCCATACCCTCTAACGACCTTGAGTTGTTGAAGTTTTCTATTGGACTTCGGCTCAATTGTTCCATATCGATGTGAACATTGCGAAACCAGCGTCGATAGCAAGGGCACAGACATTGCCCCCATTGTCACTTTTGTCGAGGTCGTTTTCCACGGCACACCAAATACAATGACATCGTATTATGTGCCCAATCAGAAGGCATTCCATCTAGACTTGAACCAACCGGAATTTTTAAAACCGATGGAAAACGTCTTGATGGAATGTCTTTGATTCCTTGGTCAAGGGGTCAGCTCCTGGTTTGGGACTTCACCTGCATTGACACAAATGCATCACCTAACTATAACGTCGATGCCCTCGCCATCGCAGAATCTCGAAAAATCATCAAGTACAGTTCCTTAGACCCCGTCTTTCTTATTCATCCCTAGCCTGCTCCATTCTAGCCTCCTTCGGTAGCAAAGCTCAAAGTTTTTTTTTAAAGAATTAGGCAAACCGATTCGTGAAAAAAAACTGATCAGCTTAAGGCATCCCTCTTCTTACGACAAAGACCGATACTGTCATTATTCGCTCTAACTATCTACGTTTTTTCTCTTCCATCGAATAACCCTCCATGTCTGTGCCTTCTCTCTTCCCTTCTCATTCTTAGCTTTCTTTCTTTCTTTCTTTCTTTCTTTCTTTCTTTCTTTCTTTCTTTCTTTCTTTCTTTCTTTCTTTCTTTCTTTCTTACTTTCTTTTTTTTTTATCCCTTATCCTTTCCCGTTAACTCTATTTCTATATTTTTTCACCTTTATATTAATTTTAATTACATTTTTGGTAGACATATTATATCAGTTACTAATCATAATAAAGTAACCTATGACCGGAAAATAATGAACAATTTAAATTCAAGTTTTTATGAAATGTAAAACGAATAAATTAAACGAAGAAACATGTTCAATTTAGGTTACATTATTTATTTTTCTTGCAAGATTTGCCAGTATTCTTTAATGTAATTTATCCCATTCCCTTTTGCATATATCAGCTGTCAAGGTGACAGGAAATCATGCCAGCCTCTAGGAAAAAAGAAAACGGCAATAAAAGAAATGCCTTGATTTTCATTTTGTTCCCTTTATTGTGTTTCTTACTTTTCCATAGCATAAAATTGCCACAATCACTTATTCATTATTGGCGAGGGGGTGAGGTTTAAATTATTTCTAATCTTTCTTTCTGTATTTCTTTCTTTCTTTAGAAACCCCTAAACCTGACTCCAATCGGATATTCGATTTTGGGAAGGTCCTAGTTTAAATTTGTTCATTTTAATATATATAAATAATAATAATTAAAACTATAATCATAAATATCAAATTTTTTAAAAAAATGGAATTAATAATCATTTATAACCTTAAGTTAATCAAATTTTACCTATACATGGCCTATTTACTATCTTTCTATTTATTAGTATAGAATGGTTTCTTTATATAATAATAGATAAGACCCTTTAAATGCGTTATGAATATATGAACATAACATAAGATGTAAGGATTCTATCTATCTATATAAAATACTTTAAATTTGAATGCGTATACCCTTTGAGAAGAGACAATGATAAAAAGGGGAAGGCTATTTGATTCGATATTAGATTATTCAAGTGAATAAATAAACATAGGTAAGGGTACCTGATATAGAATAAGAAGTTAAGAAGAAAATGTCAGTCAACACAGTCGGTTAGTTATAACCCCCCTCCCCTCTTAGTTATAGGTATCAATAATTTTTCCCTAATATTTAGAAACAAGTGTTATAATTTATTTTTTCAAAAATAAGCTCCACATAAGTCCCAAGCTAGATCAATATAAAATTTATAGACTGTTCGATTTGCTTCCTTCAACCTTGCTTATAGCGAGAAGAGGGGTGTACTACTACTACTAAGGTTTAAATTAATCATCATTATAGAAAATAAAATAGGCCAGTATCCTCAATTGAGGATGTTGGGAGAGGAGTTACTCCAAAAAAAGCTATCGATAATTTCCAGAATTGTTAAAGGATCTAGATACTGTGGTATCCGTATCTGTATCTAGATAATCTAGATATTATTTTAGACGATGTATCCGTATCTAGATCCATTTAAAAAGTATCTTTTAAGAACTCTGATAATTTCTAAAAATTATTAAGTTGGTGGAAATAGCAAGGTTTGAATATAATAATAATCCAAAATTTTCTCGATTTTCTCCCATTGGCTCAAAAGTTTTGGGGGATTTGGTTGGTGGGAGTCGAATCATTTTTGGTTACCGTATTTTTTTATTTTGAATTTGGATGTAGTTACATGTGTAAAATTTAAAAATAAATTGATTGGTTTTTGACATTTTAAATTTATGAGTTAGGTTTAAGAACCGATAAATAACAGCTGATTTACAATGGCACATATTTCTGGCGTTTTATAAATCCCAGAGGAAGCTTGGAGAAGGATGATGATGTTATATGCCGGAAGTTCTTCTAGTGCCTCTTTTGCCTCTCATCATCATCCATTTTTTTTGTTTCCAATGCCTATATTTACGTGCGAATCCCAAAAAAATATTGTGATTTTGATTGATTACCGAACTCAAAAATGACAGCTTACTGAATATTGGATTGACAAAATTTAGTAGCCAATATAATACCAATAAAATGTTCATTTTTTTATAATTCTGTAAATACGTGTAAAACATTATCCCCCTTAAAAAAATATCGTGATTAGAACCGATAACCGATTTGAAACCGATAACCGATTTGAAACCGACCTAATGGCTAAATACAGCATTACTGGCGTTAACCATGGGAAAAGCTTAATTTTTGCTTTGTGCATCATTTACGTGTTAAGCATTATTGTATCTTATAAAGAGAATATAAAACGAAAAATGAACATTTTTCAATTCATATTTAGT